TAGGCCTACTTAATGTATTCATGGGTCAAAGTCAAAGGTTCAGCCAATCGTAGCCCGGTGTACGCCCTGCGTGTTGTTGTATGTCTAGATCCAATATCTAGATCAAGATTTTTAAAACCCATGAAAGTATTGAAAGTAGATTTCTCCGTAAGTGGATTTAGCGCGCACGCCGAAAGATGAGTGTATTTTGTGCACAGTGTCTAGGTGAGATCTAGAATCGAGATCTAGAATCGAGATCTAAATCGAGATCAAGAAGAATCATGAAATGAAAGTAGAATCTAGATCTGTGACGTCTCGATAACCTATTGAATATTGAAAGTGGATTTTTCTTTCTGTGCATTATAGATTCTAAGATCTAGATCTAGGCTAGATCTAGATCTATAAGTGAATCTTAGATCGAGATCAAGAATGATGAAAGTATTGAACATGGATTTTTTCCTGCTGTGAATAGATCTAGAGTCTAGAACTAGGCTGTCGGTGAATCTAGATCGAGGTCAAGAATTATGAAAGTACTCTTGAAAGTGGATTTTTCCTGCTAAGAATAGATCTCGAAATCTAGGCCATCTGTGACGCCTGTCGGTTGTTAAAAATGTGAATTTCTAAACTTAATTCAATCTATGGGTCTATGCTCCTTCTTTCATTTATAGGCCTATGTCTTTATAATCCTTTGAAATCCAGGCTAGATCTAGAATCTAGATCAGGTTCTTCTAGGGAGCAACAATTTGCATGTAGGCCTAACACTTTTTTAAAAAGTGATTGAGCTGAAACTTTAGTAGAAAATGCCACGCCTTCGAAGAGGAGGAAGAAGTCTTACCCCTAAAGGTAGTCAAGAGGGGGTGCTACATAGATAAATTCAAGGTAAAATATTTATGTTTTGTTTCTTTCCTGTTTTCAGTCTTTTTCCTCTTCTTAACTTTCCTAATACTTCTTCATTATTATTCCGTACCTAGAACGGGTACTTTTACTAGTAATAATAATAATAATAATAATAATAATAATAATAATAATAATAATAATAATAATAATAATAATGCAAAAATATGTTATGTAGACTTAACACATACTAATCATACTGGTGTATGTGTATGTTGCATACATAAGACCCAATTTCGATTCCCGCGAGGGGAGAATTTTCATCATGTATCTCGATCTTTCTAAAAGGACGTTGTATCTCTCTCAGCCCAGAGTGGCCCTGGCAGGCGGAGTCGAAGTCCCCCCCCCCCCCACCCCCACCCCCAATGATCTAAATGGTGTCAACAAGGGCGTAACAACTCCTACATTCAAAACATCATAACATTTATCATGTTGAAGACCGGAGCACATAGCCCTGAACCTTCACAACGATGGAAGCAGTTGAACAAACTTTGATGCATTGCGTACAAGATACAAATAGGTCATGGTGGAAGAATACACTAGGCCAAAACCTGGACAAGGGTGGACGTTTTAATTATTAAAAGGTACTAATAGGCACTGTCACTTGCAGTACTACCACTGTGATAACCAGGATCCACGACTTGTAATAGTAATACGCCACAGTCTGTGCCATGCTGGAGTTTCAATTTGTAATAGTTGTCACACTTCACAAACAAGAATCACAATCAGTAATACTTAAGATTCTGTGATAAACAGGGGTTGCAATTTGTAATAGTTTAGGTAATGCGACAGGATGGGGCCTCATTTTGTTATACTTCGCATTCTGTGACAACAAATAGGGGCCACAGTTTGTTAAAGCTCAAAAACTGTTAAAGACATGTTCCATAATTTATAACAGTTCCCATACTATAACAAACAAAGACCACAGTTTGTAATACATTACATACTGTGACAAACAGGGGCCTCTCCGAGTAGTCTCCCTGTAGAGGCGCAGGCACGAACCAAATCTCCGCCAATGTGGTACGGGAATCGGTCGGCACAGGCAAATTCCATGATGTCCCCAGGTTGGGCGGTTCGGCTTGCTGACTTCAGCTCGTAGACGGGGGAGCTCGGGGCAGTACAGTGCACAAAATCTTTTAGGGGAGAGAAACAGGGTTGCGATTGAGAGAGTTGATTCAGTTTACGAGTTAACATACCGTGAAGGACATACTTTGTCGTTATGAAGGAACGAACCGTGAAAAAAAGAGAAACGGGGGGGGGGGGGGGAGGGGGGGGCAAAGGAGTTATAAATACAGTTGCGTCCGAAAGAAAAATGAAAATGTAATTAAAAAATCATCGTGTTAAAGCCTCGCATTACCTGTTCATGTAACATACCAATTTAAAGCTAAATACAGTCTGCATCATCTGACACATTAAAAGTTTATCTATGTAAAGACACGCCCGAGATATGGTCAACCAAAACTGACCTTTAAAAAAGCAGGCTTGGCAAAATTGTGCGAAATCGAAGAAACGTAAAATTGTCCCCGCGCGTATATTGAGGAGCATCAATATTGATATAATGGACATCCATTACATATCCAATGAATGGAGAATTTTGTATTGCAATAAACAATATTCCATTTTGACATTTTGTCACGTTAGTTTCAAACAAAACGGAAAACAGAGCAATTACAAATACCATGCAAAACTTGGACTTAACGTTAAATGTACTTTTTTAAGAGCATCCGAGCAAAGTAATGAATGGAGAACCATGATCGTCGATGTCTGTTGCAGATCTGGCACTAGATGAATGAATGATCACTCACGAACACAGCGGCCACACGAGCGATGGCAGTAGACGTCTGCTCCCCGGGAAGAGCGCGCGTCGTTACAGAAGTTGGGGAACTCGGACAAGGCAGTCTCACAGTGACCCGAGGAATCGTGGCAATCCACTCCTGCAGTAGAAACCGCCTCACCATCAGAACCTCAATCCTCATCATCAAAACACAACAACACATTTAAATCATCGTTGGGCAAAAATACCACCACAAACACCACCACCATCATCATCGTATTATAGTAAATCTTAAGAGCGCATGTCTGCATGTTCATTCACCTTGTACACGTATTAAGCGTTAAGTATTAAGAGTTGTATTGTTCGTGAGTGGGTACTATGGAAATTACCTGCATTACTATCATCATCATCATCATCATCATCATCATCATCATCATCATCATCATCATGATGTAGAGCTAAGTACCAGCACCTGGAAGATGTGTATTCTGGGTACTCCTATAAGCGGGAACAAAAATCTATCACTGGTCGCTTGACCAGGTCGAGCTAGCGAGACTGCGGTCGGACCATCATTAGAGTTTAAGATGGTATAAAAACTTTTTTAAGTGAAGAGCTCAGCCCATTTTGCCGAAGATGCGGCCATGAAAAGGAGGATATCAAACATATGTTTGAATGTCCAGGAACAATGGCAATTCGAATGGAGTTATGTGGACGAGTGGGGGTCCCGCTAAGCATATTATTGACAATGGAGCCGAAAAAGAGCCTCGCGCTCGGTCGAAGCTTTCTTCGTGGAGTCCGCCAGACCCATTAAGGAAACAAAAAAAATCATCATCATCATCATCAATACCATCATCATCATCATCATTATCATCACCACCATCAAACAACTAGAAAACTAGATACATAAAAGTGTGAACTAAGTAAAGAGGTCACTGAAGAATAATACTGACGAAGCGATTCCCATTACAAGGTGATATATGAAATTAATTTTTATAAATTTAAACTTATATCAGCTAAGCTAATGTCATTTTAGAGTTAGACCAGAACAATTCTATTGTGAATATAATTGAAAAAGAAATTGATATTTTAAGTTGGATTACGTATTATAGTAATTGTATTAGAAGTACAAAAATCCGAGTAGTTGTTGTGTATCCAACCGCCGCTTCTTCGAGCGTTTTCTAATAAAGTCTGGGGTTCGACCTCAGAAATGTTGACATACATAGATAAACAGACAGACAGACTGACAGACAGACGGATGGATGGATAGATAGATAGATAGATAGATAGATAGATAGATAGATAGATAGATAGATAGATAGATAGATAGATAGATAGATAGATAGATCCTTACGCTGTTTGTCTATCTGGCACAAGTAACGAACTCTGAACTCGGGGTCCGTACATAACCAAGTATCCCAGCTTCCACTGGGCCCCTTGTGTTCTTCTGCATCACTTCCATGTACCAAAAGACACTGGTCCTTGGCTGTGGGGAGAACCGATGGAAATTGAGGGTAAGTGGTTGTCAGTGTTTTAGACTTTTATTAACACTGTTTAGACAGTCTGACTTTTATCGTCCCAGCCTTTAAACACTTCGCCCCAACGGGACAGTGTACTACAGCTAGAAAACGTTGTAGGAATTATCTCCTTTTTGACATGCGCACTTGTTTAAGTTACAATTTTCTTTTTGAATGGGTTGTGTGGCCTTTGAGCGCAAAAATCAGTTGTTTAAATCTGGAGTGAATTTTGTTGTTAAATGTCGAGTAGACCTAGCATGAATTCTGCTTTACACTGACGCCATGACGAGAATTCGGGTGGTGAATGTGCAAGATCTAATGATTTTAGATCCCATTTTATTTCCTTTTTCGGCAAACACGCGACCATTACGTTTCATTTTATCAACATGCTCATACTGATTGGAGTATTTTTGCCGAGATAAAGGTACAGTACTGATGTATCACATCTGTATTCTGATACGTGGGGACAAAGGCTGTCCGCTCTTCGTGCTGGGTGGGTGAAAAGTGTGGAGGGTCAAGCATAGACATGTGCTCCTAGACTGTCCTCAGTCATGGCTGCTCCCCTTTGACTGCTAAAAAAATTTCATTACGAAGCATGCACACCATGGACCGCGCTTTTACGTCCAAAATAAAGGATTGGCTTAAGGGCGAACCCTCCAGTCTTGCAATAGTCGAATGCAGCAGCAGGAGCCCTTCTCCATCACCCCCACAACCACTACCTCTAAAACCACCACCACCACCATCACCATCATGATCATGATTGTCGTCGTCGTTGGTGTTGTAGTCGTCATTATCATTGTCCTGAGCAAGATCATCATCATCATCATCATCATCATCATCATCATCATCATCATCATCATCATCATCATCATCATCATCATCATCATCTCACCGCAGTTAGGGAGGCCACAGCTTTTCCTACAGTTGTGGTGCATGTAGGAAGGGTTCCTGTCACACTCCCCGTTCTTGGCCCACGTTGAACAGTACGGACTGCTGTCTGTGCACATACCTGAAGGGAGAGAAAGGCACACGGTAGACAGGCTTTGGTTTAGGGTGCGTCTCCACTTGGAGTGACGGGAGCATGTATTGGGGATCAGGTAGAAAGAAGTATAGTGCTTGAAGATGTATGAATAATATAGTATTTGTTTATTGATTCTTACATTTGTATTACACACGCACGCACGCACGCACGCATGCACGCAAGCACACACACACTCACACACACACATACACACACACACACACACACACAGAGAGAGAGAGAGAGAGAGAG